TGTGTGAGTGAGACAGGCGGTCCACAAATGTCTGCGTATTCTGATTTCATGCTTGACATTGTTCTGGGTGATGAGGAAATAATAATGAGTTAATACAAGAAATTCACCCTGAGAGACAAGTGACAAAAGTAATGTGATGGACTGACCAGCACAGTGCCTTAACTGGGGTAGAGGGAAGGGATTTAGAGATGGGATAGTGGAGACAGAATCCAAATGAGAGACAGCAGATAACCATGTAAAAGTCCAAGGAAAGAGATTTTAAAGGAAGGATATACATGACAACCCAATAGTCCTGAGGAAAGGATGACTTTGTGTACTTATGGGATGATAACAGGTCAGTGTGGACTGATTTTTTTTTTGGGGGGGAGGGTGGTCTTCTTGAGAAAGGGTCTCACTTTGCAGTTCTGGCTGACCTCAAGCTTACTTGGTAGCCCAGGCTAGACTCACACTCAAAACAATCCTCCTATCTCAGCCTCCCAAGTGCTGGGACTACAGGTGTGCATCACCATGCCTGGCCTTGGGCTGGCATTTGGGAATTATTTGTTCCTTTAAAGTTCTAAATAAACTATTGATCAAACCACAGAATTCATTTGGAAGCTAAACATTGATAATTTTTAAAGTTTGTTACTAACACATTGTAATATAAAATTTAAAGTATACCTAAGACTATCTATTATTTAGTTCAGATATAAAGGAGCATTTTGGGCCTGGGGAGATAGCTGGGTGGTCTAAGCACCTGCCTGGCAAATGCAAGGACCTTTGACTCTGAAACCAAGTGTCATGGTGCATGCCTGTAATGCCAGCACTGGGGAGGCTGAGATAGGAGGACCACTACGAGTCTAGTCTGCATAATGAGACCCTGTAAATACATAAGTAAAAGATCTTAGAAAATTCATTTTAAAAAGCAGCATTTTGTGTATTAGTCCCACAGGATTCTTAAATTGCCATTAAATGAGTTCTCTTCTGAGGTGTAATATATTCTACCTCATTTCTTGAATCATTAATTTTTTTTACTTATTTATTTTTTGCGGTACTGGGGCTAGAACTCGAGAGCTTGCACTTGCAAGGCAAGTGCTTATGCCCCTGAGCTATCTCCCTAGACCTCGTTAATTTTTTAAATCAGTGTTCTTACTACTTTTTTTTCCCTCTTGTAGAACTGGCTTTCTTTTTCTTTCCCTAAAACTGATGAGTGGGAAACTAAAGCCAGGGCCCTTGTGGGTCTATGTGTGTGTGTGTGTGTGTGTGCTCGTCTCCTCTGTGGTGATGGAGGTGAAGGCTGAGCAAGATGGCAGGTGCCCTGCCACCGACCTGCACTTTCAGCCTGGGTCCAGTGCCTTCGCATGTGGCTGGATCTCCAGTCCATCGTATTTTGTATTTTGAGTCAGAGTCTCACTGAGGCACTAACCCAGGCTGCATTTGAACTTGGGTTTTTCAGCCTCAGCCCCCCACTGTGTTGTGATTATGGTAGGCACCACCACTTCCAGTAAGAATCAGCTCTGATGTTCATTAATTTACCATTTTCTTCATTTTAACTCATTAAGTTTTATGTTCATTACTTTCTGTGCTTTAGAACATGTTCCTGTCACATTCTTTTAAATTTTTTTTAACATTAATTGATTTTGAGACAAGATCTCATTATGGAGTCCAAGGCTACACCATGACCCTCAACTCACAATCCTCTTACCTGGCTTTCAAACTCTGGGACTACAGGTATTGGCCACCATGCCTGGCTTGGGTTCTAATTTCTTGAGTTGAAGGCAATAACAAACACAAATAATTTCACTGCTTTATATCTGCATATGCTCCTCAACTTACTTTGGGTTTGGATCCTGATGAGCCTATTATAACTCAAAATTATCATAGTATGATCATAAGGCAGGGCCTGTGCATCTGTGTGTGTCCGTGTACAGTACAGGTATTAGAACTTAATTTTTCCTATTTATTTCAGGCTGTCTGTGCTCCTCTTGAAGCAAGCGTATGGAATGTCTTTGAATTGCTTGACTGACAGAGGAGGGGAAGCCGGGGGAAGGCAGGGAACAGTCCAGGACCTCGGGAGGTTTCTGGCAAATGAAGAATTAAACATTGGCGTGAGAGAGCAGCTAAGTAAAACAGAGATGTGATAAAGCTGTCCAGGCTCCTGTCCTGTCAACACTCAATCCCTCCTCCCTCCTTCAATTAAGCACAAAAGGCACAAAGGTGGGGGGGTCTACATTATAAAAACTCAGTATATAAGATATACAGGAGCACCAGTATATAAAATATAAGCACTCACACATCCTTATATATGGGCCAGTTAGATAGCTCAGTGGACTAAGTGCCTGCCTGGCAAGCGCAAGGACCTGGGTTTGGGCCCTGGCACCACATGCCATGCCATCTCTGCCCCCAGGTGTGCTGAGCCAGCACCAAGACAGGGCCTGGTGGTGCATGCCTGCAATCCCAGTGCTGGGAAGCCTGAGACAGGAGGATCACTACAGTTCAAGCTGCGAAGTGAGACCCTGTACCAAATACACTTAAAAAGTACATATGTATTTTATTATTCTTACCGTACTAATATACTGAAGTGCACGTTTATCCTTTTTGCGAAGCCTGGGATGAAACTCTGCTCTAAGCCTCACAAGATGGGCTCCCGGCAAGCAGAAAGAGAGCACAGAAGCGCTCTTGTAAGGAAGTCCTCACGGGCAATGGAGGGGGCAGTGGCCAAACCAGGGGGCTCTTGGCCCAAAACAGCCAATCCAAGTATAACAGCTCCCAATGGGGAGAGTCCCTTTCTCACCATGTAATAGAAGAGGCTTAGAGCAAAGACCCCAGGGCGCAGCACTGGGCTTCCTACCTTACTTCAACAAGGTAGCCACCTATCTGTTTATTTCTCTCCCTTTTTCCAATAAAGTGATGTTGTTTTCCCATTTTCTTTCTCTTTCTACTAAAGGGATTTTGTTTTTCCTTTTGAAATTATAATTCTTTTATTGATGTAGGTGTGTGTGTGTGTGTGTGTGTATGTGTGTGTGTGTGTGGTACCAGGGGGTTGAACTCAGGACCTTTTGCTTGCCAGGCAGGTGCTTATGTCACTGAGCTATAGCCCCAGCCCTTGATATATTTTAATGAATGCTAGATAAAAAAATATATGCATTCTCATGAGATTTAACAATAGAGAGAAAGTGAAGAGGAGAAAGAACAAAATAAAGACATTTCTCTCTCTCTTTTTTTTTTTGTGGAACCAGGGATTGAACTCAGGCCCCTAAGCTTGTCAGGGAAGCGCTTATTCCACTGAGCCATCTCCCCAGCCCCTAAGACATCTTTTAATTTAAAAAATCTTCAAGAGTGATTGATACAAAGTTGATGGGGCCTGGGCCCAGGAAAAAGTCCCTGTGCCGTGTGGAAGAAAGCCAAAGATCACAGGGTGTGAGTGATCGGGCCAGACCGTCCACCCAAGCTGTCCATTCTCAGGCTCCCTACACATGCCCTCCCCCCTTCAGACTGCTTTCCTGAGCCATGGAGAACCACACAGCTCTCCTGTGGCTGAGCAGTTACTGGCAGACAGCACCTCCAGTATGTAGCTGTGGTGGACAGTGCGGGGAGTAATGCCCGAGCCTTCTCCAGGTGAAAGTAATGCTCAGAGGCAGCGCTGAACTACGAAATACAGGTGGCCCTCTCTGTGTGGAGGTTTTCCCTCCAGCACCAGCCCAGGGAAGACAGTGTGAGGTTTCACAACATTTTCCTCCCCAAATTCAGAAGAATCGAGGCAAAGAAGGAACTAAGTCACATGAGGTAGAGGGCCTACCGGATCGCTGCTTTGTGTGAATTACCATTACACTGCCAAAATGAGAAATGAATTAGCCGGCCCAGGCTCCTTATGAAAGAAAGGGAGGTTAAGTTTTCTTCCTAGTTCTGAGGTATGAGTCCAAGCTTGGATAGTCCCATTAGTAAGTTGAGTGTTCCCATTTCAAACTAGGAAAGGGGGGGGGGGACAAAAAGGAGGGGAAAGGAGGAAAAGGGAAGAGAGAGAGGAAATGAGTAAGAAACATGTAGAGCTGAAACTATGCAAAGGTTTGCATTCTATTTCCAAAGAACTGATGGACAGCTAAAAGCCCTTGTTGGATTCCCAGTAAGGCTCAGTGCTTGACATTTTTGAGGGCTTGGCCTTGTGTGAAGACAGATGCCCCTTCTATCTTCCTGTCACATCTCAGGTTGTCCCCAGTACTCTGTAAAGCAGGGCCTCCCCTGGAGTAAGAGTCTAGATAGGAGAACTGTGTGGGAAGAAAGGGATGGAAATCTGGGTGAGCGCTTCCATCTTTCTGGCCCTTAGGGATCAGAAGGATCTGCTCCTCTCCCTATTTCCTATACCCTTGTGTCTCCCATATTAAGTAGCCCAAGCACTTTGAAAGTTTTCATTACTTTTTATCTGTGTTGTCTGTCTCTGAACTTTCTCCTTCCACAATCCACATAGGTCACTTTATTTCTGGTTTTTAAGACTGAGTCCAAGGGCTGGTCAAATAGCTTAGCAGATTAAAGTGCCTGCAAGCAGCACAGGGGCTTGGGTTTTGTTTGTTTTTTTTTTTTAATTTTATTTGTGTGTGTGTGTGTGTGTGTGTGGCCAGCTCAGCCCACCAGGGGGCGGCGCTGGCTGGATTGAACCGCGGTCCCTGTGCTTTTAGTTTGTTCTAAGTAGGTGCTTTAGACCGCGGAGCCATCTCACCAGCCCCCAGGGGCTTGGGTTTTGGGTTTGATTCCCAGGCCTGCTGTGCTGGCCCCGCCCCCACTGAGATGGCAATTGAGACTGAGAGTGGTGGTGCACACCTGCAATCTCAGCTCTTGAGAGGCTGTAAACAGGAAGACCACTATGAGTCCAATCTAGTAATGAGACCCTGAACACCCTGTAGACCCTTCCTTAAAGTACACACATACACACAAGGTGTGTGTTACACCGATCCACCTCTGGACTCCTCTGTCACTAACAGTCCAAGCAGGGCAAGCAGTCATGGGCTCTTTGCTCCAGGACAGTTCTACCCGCCTGTGTTTAAGTATGACTGGAGCTGTCCGAACCAAGAGGAAGCAAAATTCGATGGTAGTGGGTGAGTGGGAGTGTCCTCGGGGAAGAGGAGGAAGAAGGAAGCCAGGTGAGTGAGGTCACGCATGTGGAAAACTCGCCCAGACAATCTCAGGCTGGAGAACTCTAGGACCACCCAAGGGAGGTCCTTCCAGGCCAGCGCCGCCCAGTAAATGGCAGACAAGAATCTGGGGGCACACCGGACTCTGTCCTGCATCAGCAGGAAGTACTCGGAAAGGTTGCTGGCAAAGTGCATGAGGAGGGCATAATCTACCTTCTGCCTGGAATAAAGCGACTGGCAGGTGGAGAACTGGTTCTCATGCCTCAGTGCGGAGCCACCGAGGAGACCATGGACCACGAGCAATGTGCGGCGCGAAGACCTCTGAGATACTGGCGACTGTCTGAGCCAAGCGGGGTCAGGGTCTGACAGGTGGACCAGCACCAGCATGCACTCCAGGTCGTGTGCTGAGGAAGCTTGGAACAGGGACCGCAGGGTTGCCAGGAGGTAGGTGCCGTGGGGTCGCTGCACTGAGGGAATCCCCACCGTCAGCAGCTCTGGGGGAGACAAAGACCTTTAGTGCTTCAGGATGGTGGAGAGGTCCCAGGCCTCCCCCCAGGCCTCCCTTTCCCACTGTCCTCTTTGCTAAGAGGCCAGGCAAGATTGTGTCTGCCCCTCAGCTTGCTCCTGTCTGCTTTTCAACAGGGTTTGTGATCAAACCCTTTCAGTTAGTGTAAATTCTCTTTCCTAGTCTGATTTTACCTGATTCCTTGGCTATACCCTTTGTAAATCTTTGTAATCTTAGTCCCAAACTCACAGCAATCTATAAAAACAAAAGTCAAAATCAGGCAAAGTGGCACATGCTTGTAATCCGAGCACTCAGGAGGCTGAGGCAGGAGGATCTCCAAGAGCACAAGGCCAGCTTAAAATGTATCATGAGTTCAAGATTAGCCTGCCTTTATAGTGCGACTATCTGAAAAACAAACAAACAACAAAAACAACACGCTCAGATTTTGGATGTTCTTTCAATTGTGGTGCTTTAGAAGATTGCATTTAATTTTTGGACCCTGTTGTAAAGAAGGGCTTTTGAAAAGGTAGTAATATCACAATTGGGAGGAAAGGAACAGAGCTGGCTAATCAAGAAAAGTGTGTCCTCTTAAAATGGATGTATCGGTCTTCAAGAAGAGCCAGGAAGTGTCGACCATGTTATAGCAGAGGGTACTCACTCATGTGAACAGTGACAAAACAGACAGTGATAGAGCAAACGGAAGATTTCTCAGACTTAGGGAGAAGTTAAAGGAAGTATGAGAGAGTTAAAGGAAGTATGTGAGTGGGATTGGCCACAGAATGAAATTGCTTACGTAAATGTAAAATGAGAAATTCTCACAGAATGCAAAGGAAAAGACCAAAGAAATCAGCATGTGTGCACGTGTGAGCGCGCGCGCACACACACACACACACACACACACACACACAGAGGAGAGACAGAGAGCTATAGAGGGTCCATCCAGGAGATACAACACATGTGGACAGGAATACCTAAAACAGAGCAAGGCAAATGAAGCTCAAGTAATAATGAAGACACTACAGGGAGATAGCTCAGCAACATAAGCTCCTGCCTGGCAAGCACAAGGTCCTGTGTTCCATCCCCATCCCACCACCCCCCACCAAAAAAATGTATAGAAACTAATTGGAGCCAGGCCTGGTGGCTCATGCCTGTAACAACCAGCACTCAGGAGGCTGAGGCAGGAGGATCACTGTGAGTTGGGGCGAGCCTTGGCTACATAAAACAAGCAAGCAAACAAACAGAATTGAAGAAAACTTTCTAGAGTTGAAGAACAAAGTAGAACTGCAAATGGAAAGGCTCACCTGGTACTGTTAAAATGTAATGAAGAAAAAGCAACACTTAGATGACACATAAACATATCCTGGTGGGTTTTTTAAATTTCAAAGATAAAGAAAAAATTTTGCAGTAGAGAAAGTAAGTTACTCATATGGGTGAAACAGTCAGTCTGGCCTCAGATTTTTCTCTTGCAATTTTAAATACCAGAAGCCCATGGAATGATATCCACAAAGTTTTAAAAAAATCATTGATTTAGTACAGGGTCTTGTTACCCAGCTCAGACTCGTAGTGATCCTCCTGTCTCAGCCTCCCCTTCACTGAGATTACATGGCATACAGTACTGGGGTTTGAACCCAAGTCCTTGTGCTTGCCAGGCAACACTTAGACTGCTGAGCTATCTCCTCAGCCTCAATATCTACAAAGTTTGAAGGAAAAATAATCTTGAATCAAGATTTAACTATCCTTCCAAGCTAATGTTTCCATATGAAGGCAACTGGAAGATGTTCTCATATATGAGGAGATTAAGAAAATGTATCAACCAAGAACTTTCTCTGAAAATTTACTGAATGATTGTCTATAGCCAACTGAGAATATAATTACAAATAACGAAGGAGCAGAGTGGCCACTGTAGGAGAGATTTGGTGGGGCTCATTTCAACTGGTTAAGAAGTGTTAAGTTCAAAATCCTTACATGGAGGGCAAGAAAACTAAATGCAAAAATTGATCTGTAAGCTAGATCTAAAAATTTCAATTTATGTAGTTTTTAAATTGTCAAAGTGCCTGTCAAATAGTCAATAGCAGGCAAATGTAGTTTTATTTTTCCATGTAATATTATAGGAAAAGATGAATGCTGTTAAGCAAATGTACGTGAAATCAAAGTGCTTTGTCACTGTGGTAAAGACGGGCAACTAGGACATTCTAAATGTTAATCTGACAAGATTGAAAAATGGTACAGCTTTATTTTATAATGGTAGTATTGATAATGTAAAGAGAGAATTACCAAAGCACTGACTGGAGAGAGGTAGATAAAATGTTGTTGGATTGACCGAACAAAAGTTACCGCATCAGACGGCAGTTTATATAAACCAATTTGTCATTGAGTTATAGAAAAAAATAGAATATGTTCACCCCAAATTTCTGAAATGAAAGAAGTGGTGAAAAAAAACCAAGAAAAAGTAACAAAAGAAAAACACCAAGAAAGTATTAAAATTAGCATAAAAGTGAAAAGACAGAGGTGAATTATACTCATAATTGCTTAAATTTCCAATCAATAAGATCCAAACTGAGTAAAAAAAATCAATCTCAGCTTCAAGATTCTAGCATTTATATAAAACAAAGATTAAAAGTTTATAAAAGTAATTGAAACTCTTTAGGTCATAGAGATGGAGAACAACATTGTTATTAGGCCGAAATAAGGACATTACAAGATAGTTACATTTGGAAGACTGGTAAATGACACATGTAAGATTAGCATGTAAGATTAGTATTCCCTATCTTGGGGTGGTAGCTTTACTGTGGTTAACTGATACAGACATATATTTTACAATGCATATTTAAAACTATTGCATTTTATGTATTTAAGTCTCACTGAGTTATCCTTTAATTAAAGAGAATACATAGAGCAAAAACAAAATCAATAACCAGCACCTACTTGGACTGATACCCATCCCCAATACAGCAGATTATGAGAACACAAGGTATGGAAGAAGGGCAAAGAGTTTTTTCACTGTGCGAGTTAGGAAGGGAAGTGAGCAAAAGGAGTGTTGTGAAGAATGGGATCCCCTAAACACACAAAAAAGAGAAGTTAGAAATTCTTAGAAATATAAGAAAATATAACAAGAAAATTCAGGGGTCGCTGGCTAGCCAGCCTGGAGAGCAAAGCGTCAATTGACTAGTGGGTTTTAAAGCTCAAGTTTGGAGGCAAAAAGCAACAATCAGATGAGGCAGGTGTGGTACTACATCCCTATAAATAAAGAGTTTGGGAGGCTGAGGCAGAAGGATCATGCATTCAAGCCCTAACAGCAAATAAGAAAAAAAAAAAAAGAGCGTAGGGCCAGCCAGATAGCTCAGCAGATTAAAGTGCCTGCTTAAGGGGTTCAATCACCAGCCTGCAGTGCCAGCCCCGCCCCTGGGGTGCACTGAGATGGCAGAAAAGACTGGGCATTGTGGTGCACGCCTGTAATCCCAGCGCTTGGGAGGCTGAAAAATAGGAAGGATCACTATAATTTGATCTGTGTAGTGAGACCCTGTAGACCCTGTCCTACATACATTAAAAAAAAAAAAGGCGAGCTTATCACAAGTTCCGGCCACGTCATGAAATCCTATCTAAAAAAAGAAAGAACACAATAAATAAAGCAAGCTGGTGGAGAAGTAGAGTCCATGGGTAAAAATTACTCTTGCTAGACGTAGACATGAATGGTCGAAGAGGGAGAAACGTTTGGTACGTAGATGTTTTCAAAATGGAATAGATGTGAGTATACTTGGGGATTAATGAAGGAGCAAGACCAGACTCATTTCTGTAATTCCGATGTGTTTCGTTTTGCTGTCAATTTTTAAATTTTAATAGGCCCCCAAAATCTTGATCCTATAAGTAAGGCTATACTGCCCCTATGTGGTATAAACTAACAAGGAACTTGATTCTTGCTGTAAAGAGCCAGATGGATATTTTTGACCTTGAGAGTGGGTCAAAAGTATTCTATTTCCTTTGTAAAGGAAAAGTAACATAGGGGCTGGGGAGATAGCTCAGTGGAATAAATGCTTGCCTGGCTAATGCAAGGTCCTGAGTTTGATCCCTGGTACCACAAAAAAAAAAAAAAAAAGTAACAATATCTTTTTTGAGGTTGCAGCTACAGTGGAACTCTGGTCCATGAGCTCTTAGTGATGTGTAGATGTGGCTTTAAGAGGGGGAAGGGCAGAAGGAAAACCAAGAAATGGGAAGAGGATGAAAAAAATGTTGAAGTATTATGTACTTGTATCAATTCCCCATGATGAACATAATCATGTATTACAAACATGTATTTATAAATAAAAATAAAATTTTATTTAAAAATTAAACCCATATCCTCACCTCTCAGTCCCCCAAAGACACTGTAAAGGTAGAGTTGGAAACAGTGGTGGCAGATCACCTAATTAGAATGACCCCAACAAGCCACCATGGAAAACTCCTGCCAAAGATGTGTAAAAGAACCAGTGCAGATCCCCACCAAGATTTTGAGAGCCACTCTGTGGCCAACTTGTGGTGAAAGTCCACAAATAGGTTAGACTCACATAGCCCTGAGATACACTGACCCCTCCAATCAGTACATGGCCAGGTGTAAGGTCAAAGTCAGTATCACAGTCTAAAGTGACTGTTTCAATAAATTGCTTACAGCTATTTGAAAAAAGAGAATGAGCCACAGATAAAATGTCAATAGGCCTCGCTATGTTCTAGTAACACTTTATTTACAAAAACAGGCAGGAGTGAGCTTTGGTTTGTAACCCCTGGTTTACTGGTTCTTGATCTAAACTTGTGATTTCTAGTGTATGGATTGAATATTAAAATTACCTAAAGATGCCAGGCACTGTGGCACACACCTGTAATCCCAGCACTCAGGAGGCTGAAGCAGGAGGATTGCTAAACTACAAGTTTGAGGGCAGCCTGAGCTACAAAGTAGGCTGAAGGCCAGCCTGCACTGAGTAGTAAGACCCTATCTCAAAAAGACAACAAATTAACTTTTCAAAGATCAAATAGATAATACGTAGCAGAAGGATCCTGGACCCAAGTAGGGCTGACTTCAGAATCTGTACTTTTAATATTTTTAAAATATTGCTTCATGTTAGTAAACTGCCTCCAATACAAAATATCACTGACACATATTTCTTCAAAACAGTAGGAATGATTTTCTAATGCCTCCAAAGAGAAGACCCCCAGGCTTTAGGATTTCAGACTATTAATATTCAAGTAATACAGATTTTTGGCAACCAATATAAATTTTCCAACTTAAATTTTTGACAATAAAGAATCTTGAAAAGCAAACATCATTTATTTACTACTGGTATGAAGTAAAGGATAATTTAGAACAAAAAGTAGAGTAAATAAAATCCAGAAAGCTAGAATTCTAATACTACACACATTCATAATTTGTCCTTAAATTTCCCACTTCGTTGAGAAAATTCTAGAATGACCTTCTCCTTCCACTCACTTCCTAATATGTTAATCAACTCCATTTAAACATAATAGCAACTTCAATAACTTTCACAATGGTCTTTCTAGAAAGCCTGAATCTTTGGGTTTGAAAATTAACAATGCCACTGGTGCACGGTTGTTTTTTAATGAAATATGAAAGAAAATTTTAAAGTGGCCAGAGGACGTACGGACACTAAGAGGTTTAAGATTTCCTTAGTCTTCAAACTAAGGAAAGATGAAATAATTTTGTGAACTTGCATTTCTGTCATTTGAATGCATTAAGATAAATATGTTAAGAAATAACATTTCAGGGGGCCTGCCCCTTAGCTCAGCTCTTTAAGTGGCTGCTTCAGCAAAGCAGCCAGGCTCACGTTGCTGTGCTTCAAGCCTCACAACTCAAGGCAGCCAAACCTGCCCTGAAGGCATTCAGAGAAAAAAAAAAAAAAAAAAAAAGAAATAACATTTCAGTTAAAACCTCAAAGTTTTTCATAGAGACCTGGTATTAATAGGATCTATAACTATTGCATATTTGATTCCCTCCAGAGTTGGAATGTTTTAAACATGGTGTCACATATGCACCAAGGATCTACAAGGATGAAAGGCTCATGAATTTTTTATTGATAACGTGAAATGAGAAGGCTCAGTGGTTACTATCTGCATTCTGAACTAAATTACGAAGGATAAATTATGTATACATGGAAAATTCTTTGAAACAATTTTTGTTAATAGTTCACTAGACTTTGTTTTTCTAAAAAATATTTACACATAACCGAAAGTGATGCTACAGTATGTAAATTATTTACAACTGTGCAGTAAGGTGTTGCAAAATAATGTATCTAGAAGGCAGCAAAGTACATTGTGAAGGTATATAAAACCATACAGCGTCCCAGATACACTCTGTGTAGCATTATTGGCTCTAGTGTTTCAAGTTAGGTTCTCAGAAAGAGAAACAAAATGTCCAAGATTAAAGGTAAAAACATACACACCACGTGGGTTTGGATTTGACTCCATTGAGAAGCACTTTCAGCTTACTTTAATGCACTGTAAGTGGATATCACTAAAGAAAATAAAAGAAGCACTTTTCTTACATGTATGAAAAAGAACAAGATTTTATAACAAAATAGAGAACATCAGTTCATGCTAGACCTTTCTTCGTTATAACTTTTGAGGAAATTAAATTTGAACAATTCACAATTGTACGAAATTACATTCGGCTTCAATTATGAGTCTAGGGTCAAGCCTGTTAACACCTGTTACTTTTCGTGGTAGTCTGTTACATAAGGCAAGTAAAAACCAGCGACTTGCTCCAAATGATTTTGTGTAGGGTATAAAAGCCAATTACATCGAAAATGAGAGTCCTTTTGTAAATATTTTAGGATGGATCCAACAGATTGAATCTCTGCCATCTAAATTCTGTTTCTCAAACTAGGGATTTTTCACCCTTTTAAAAGCTGCAAGTAAATTAGAAAGATAAAGAACGTAATTCAGGACTTTTCAGTAGGGTGGAAAGATCATTTTCTTTGATCTACCTATAGTTTTACTTTTTTTTAAATTTATTTTTTGCGGTACCGGGGATTGAACTCAGGATCTTGCGCTTGCCAGGTACGCGCTTATTCTACTGAGCTATCTCCCTGGCTCCTCTACTTAGGCGATGATGATAGCTTGTAAAACTTTTAAAGACTTTCTTCTTTTATTTTGAGAATTTAAAAATTTGAAGTTTTCGTCAAAGGGATGACAGTGCAGACTCCTAACCCCACGTCGGCACAGCGGGCGCTGTCTTTGGGCCCGAGCGCAAGAGATGGAACATGAGGAACACAGCGCGCTACGTCTGGGGGTAACCTCGGCTAGGGGCAGAGGATTGATCGGCAGGAGAAAAAACCTGGGAGACCAGGATCTGAAGTCGGTTCTTAACCCACCCGGCTGTGAGCCAGGGTGGGACACCTGGGATCAGCCGCAGAGAGCTCCGCCGGATGCCCGGCGCCGGGCGATGACGCGAGCGGACGGCGGAGCTCATTGGCTCCCGCGGAGGGGCGTGGGCTGCCGGCGACTCGGGGCCTGGGTCTCGCGAGAGCGCGGCGCGGCGCGGCGGGGGTGGCCGTGGAGCCGGGCGGAGCTGGCCCTGGGCTCCGGGCTCCCGCGCTCTGGCCGGAGACATGGCCCGGGGTCCCGGGGCTTTAGGCCAGCCTCGCCCCAGCACGACAACCATGCCCAAGAGAGGAAAGCGACTCAAGTTCCGGGCCCACGACGCCTGCTCGGGGAGAGGTGGGCGAGGGCGCGGGGCGCGAAGGGACCCCGGGGAGGGCCGGGAGGGGCGCGCCGGCCGGGAGGCGACGCTGCGCTGCGGCAAGAGGCACCCGATGGGACGCTGGAGGTCTTGGGGGGAGACGCTTGGCGGCAGCCTCACCCTCGAGGGTTGGCGCTGTGTTTCAGTGACCGTGGCGGATTATGCCAACTCGGATCCGGCAGTCGTGCGGTCTGGACGGATTAAGAAAGCCGTGGCCAACGCTGTTCAGCAGGAAGGTAGGCTCACAGCAAGTCTTTTTACACTCAGGCTGTGAAGACAGAACTAGTCGTTTTGTTTCTCTGGGATTCGGCTCAGTGTTTTTCCCTGCAGTCCTTTGGTCATCTTCCCATAAGCCTGTGTGCCCTTTCTGTTTGCTGTCAGGCTCGAAGGGGTGGGGCGGGAGGGGGAGAATTAGCCAAGTGTAACAGTTTCCGTAGCTGAAACATTGTATTTGTGTACTCTTTTTTTTTTTTTTTTAAAGTTTCCATTGCTCCCTTATTGGGTATTAATCTCAGTCCTGTAGTTTACATGTGCTTTGCTCTGCAGTTTGCGTCCTTGGTGTGCGCTTTTTTTCCCACCTTGCGTTTCTCATGCGTTTAAGCTTTTTACTCATGGGTCCCTGAAGCTTGTGTTTTACATATTACACTTAGGATCAGTTCAGGTTAAATTGGATGCAATTCCTCACAGACGTTGCTCCTTAGAATTTATGTAAATGAGAATAGAATTTGTCTTTTGCTTTTATCCTGCAGGGTTCATGGTGGATGAATTGCACGTTCCCCCCTTCTCTTTCCTCCTCCTCCTCCTCTTCCTCCTCGTGTTTTTAAGGAGTTAGTTTCTGCAACTTTGGAGTCACTTTGCCTATTGCTTTTTATTTTTAATATTAAAATGCTACATTTGTGTTGGATTTGGTCATAAGTATTCCGCTTTCTCCAACAGACTCACAGTGTTCCCTTACCCCTTCCCTGATAGATCCTGATATCTTGGTGAAGCCATTTTTGGATGGAGCTATGCACCATCTCATTCTTCCTTTGTCTTTTCCTAGTAAAGTCTCTTTGTGGCTTGGAAGCCTCCCAGGTTCCTGCAGAGGAAGCCTTTTCTGGGGCTGGTGAACCCTGTGACATCATTGATAGTAGCGATGAAATGGATGCCCAGGAGGAAAGCATCCAGGAGAGAACTGTCTCCAGAAAGAAGAAAAGCAAGAGACATAAAGGTACAGAGCTTTCTCTCATCTGGCTCATTAGTCCCATCGTGGGAACAGATTGACACTGTCATGTTCTCACACCAGGAGGGGAAATTCAAGTGGGGATACCTTTGGGGAACCAGAGTTTGGAGAAAACCTAGCTTTCAACTGAGATCTTGGTAGTAGGATGATACCTGTTAATATATCTGGCCTTTTTGCTTTTGTTTAAATTTGAGAAGGAAGGAGATTGGGAAGAGTCATCAATTCTGCAGCTGTGAACTGGATTGCAGTAGCTATTTGTTGACAGTACGTCAGAGTATAAGGAAACAGAGATGACAAATGGTTTTCCCATATATATGAATTATGTGTAAACAGTTTTATTTCAAATATAGTTAGATGTAATCTTGAGACTTTAAAGGCTCTGCAGTTATTAATGTTTCCTTATGTCTAATTGGTACTGTGGAAAACAGAAAAATTGGTGATATTTACCTCCACATGATGAACAAGCCTTTAAAGCAGAAAAAATTAAACTAATAGTACATAATGTGTAAACTGTCATTCAGAATCATATGTTTTGGCCTAGACTTAATGAGTTAGAATCTCATGGAATGGGGCCAGAATAGCTGTTACTAATAAAAATAAAGATGGTTTGGATGGTCAGCTAGGCTTAGGGGAAGCTGAGGAGTTAAAAAATGTGTGTTTGGGGTCTCGGATCTGTCAGATCTTTCACCTTTCTGTGTAAGAATTAGATAATAGATATTCCTATTTGTTAAACTCTTGAAACCAGTGAATTAGTAAAGTGATATTACTTCACTCTTCTATCAGTTATTTTTGATGCTATCCCTTTTTTCCAAGATTGCAAAATTGACATTACTGTTTCTCAAACTTCATTCTTCCTTAATTTCTCACTTAAGGTTCCTTCTTACCATCCCCATTTTATAGGAATTTATATAATACATTATGACACACTCCACAAGAATGCTATATGCTTAGACTTTTTTTTCTCCCCCGACCCCTCTTTTTTTTTTAAGACATGGTCTTGCTGTGAAGTTCAGGTTGGCCTTGAGCTCACTTTGTAGCTCAGGCTGGTCTTGAACTCACAACAATCCTTCTGCCTCAGCCTCCCGAGTGCTGGGATTATAGGCATATACCACTAGGCCCAGCAGTCTTAGATTTTAATTAAAAAAAATCTTTTAAATGTTTTATGTATTTTTAAAATTTATTTGTTTGATACAGGGTCTTGCTACGCAGCTTGGACTCGTAGCGATCCTCCTGTCTCAGTCTCCCCAGTGCTGAGATTACAGTGCACCACCATCCCTGGTTATAGTGCCTGGCATGGTGTGTCCAGGGTTCTGGAGCTAGCACAACACACAGTACTGGGGATTGAATCTAGGTCTTTGAGCTTGCCAGGTTGGCACTTAGACTGCTGAGCTATCTCCCCAGCCTAAAAAATCTTTATTGAGATAAAATGCATTTTTTTTTTTTTTTAACTTTTTTGAGACAGGGTTTTGCTATATAGTTCAAGCCGGGCTTGAGCTAACTAGCCCATGCTGCTCTTTGAATCCTAGGTGATTCTCCTGCCTCAGCTTCCTGAGTGCTGGAATTACAGGCATGTGCTACAAGACCTGGCTTAAAATGCATTTTATTTTTATTATTTATTTGGTGGAACCAGGGATTAAACTGAGGCCCTTGCGCTTGCCAGGCAAGCACTTCTTCTACTAAGCTATCTCCCGGCCCCTTAAAATGCATTTTAAAGTACATAATTTGCCAGACAAGGTGGTACATGCCTATAATCCCAGCATTTGGGAGGCTGAGACAGGAGGATCACCATGAGCTTGAGACCAGCCCTGAACTACATAGTTAGTTTAATACCTGGCTGAAGTACATGATGATACCCTGTCTCAAAAAAGTAAAATAAAATAATATGTAAAGTGCATAAATAGTTTTATAGCATTGTGCAGCCATCAACAAGATCTAAGTTTAACATTTCCTTTATCTCAAAAAGAAACTCCATTCTTCTTAACATCGTTCCTTGCTGTCCAAGGCCTACGCCTGCCAGCCTTTGTAGATCTGGATATTTCATAAAAATGAAATCATATAATATGGTCTTTTGTGTCTGGTTTCTTTTACTCATCATAATGTTTTCATAAAGATTCATCAATATTGTGGCATATATTAGTAATTGATTCATTTGTGTTGCTTGTTACTTGACTGTTATCGGAGTACTACTATGAACATTCATAGGTAAGTTTCATTTCTGTAAGGTAGGAGTGACATTGCTGGGTCATGTAGTAACCTGTGTTTAACTTTTTGAGCAACTGCCGAACTGTTTTTCAAAGTGGCTGCATCATTCCATAATTTTACCAGCAGTGTTGAAGGTTCCATTTTCTCCACATCCTTCTCGTTTTTTTACTTTTTAAATTACAGTGAATGTGGTATCTTATTGTGCCTTTTTTTTTTCTTTTTTTTCTTTTTTTTTTTTTTTTTGTCTTTTGTCTTTTATGACAGGGGCTTGCTATGTAGTTCAGGCAGGCCTTCCACTCACTGTGTAGCCCAGGCTAGCCTCAACTCAGAACTCACAGTGATCCTCTTGCCTCAGTGGAGTGCTGAGATTATAGGCATGTGTCCTCACACCCAGCCCATGTTGAGTTTCTTTTTGGTCCCATGACTCTTGCATACTGAGAATTGAACCCAGGCATACTCTGTCACACTACATCACCATCCCCCATCCCTTTTTTTATCTTTTTGATATAGGTTCTTGCTGTGCAATTCAGAGTGGCGTTGGCTCACTTTGTAGCCCAGGCTGGTCTTCAATTCTCAATAATCATCTTGCCTCAGCCTCGATCCTCCTACCTCAGCCTCCCGAGTGCTGGGATTACAGGGGTGTGCCACCACACCTGGCTGCTATCCCTTTTTTATTTAGAGACAGATTCTTGCTAAGTTGCCAGCTAGCCTCTAACTAGGATAGCTAGGATTACATGTGTGCACTTCTGTGCTCACACTTTTAGCTTCTTTTTCCTGAGGACTGTACAATAAAAAGAATATAGTGCACTCCTCAGTCTCAACTCAGGACCATTTATATTTAACCACCAATCCTGTCACTCATTTCAGTTTTGTTTTTTGTTTTCTTCTTTTGCCTTTTTGAGACAAGGTCTCGCCATGCAGTTCAGGTTGGCCTTAAGCTCACTCTGTGGCCCAGGCTGGTCTCTTAACTTGCAGTGATCCTCCTGCCTCAGCCTCCCAAGTATTGGGATTACAGGCATGTGTCACCATGCCCAGCTCATTTCACATTGTCTTGAAATAATCCCTGTAAATATTTTAGTGTGTACCTCAAAAGTTAAATACTACTCTTTAAAAACATCATCACAGCTAAAGTACTTAAGTGTGTGTGTTTAGTGGTACCAGGGATCGAACTCAGGACCTTGCACTTGCCTGGCAAGTACTTATTCCACTGAGCTATCTCCCTAGCTCCGTGTGTGTTTATTACTAGGGACTAAACCCAGGATCTTCACACTGAGCTACATCTCCAGCCTTTAAAAATTTTTTTTTATTTTGAGACGAGGTCTTGCTAAGGCGCTGAGTTGCCCATGTTCAGCTTCAATGTGCAATCTTCCTGCTTCACTTGGGATTAGAGGTGTGTATCTCCATGCCTGGATTAAATTTCTTAGTTATGTGTAAAACACCAACATTT